GCCATTTGGGGAGCTCTGGGGCATGTCTTCATGCAATCACATACACAGTGTTGACTAAACTGGACTATCTTTCCATTTTCCAAGCCCCCAGAAGTTGAATATCTGGATGTGTTTGAGCTAGTAAGTGAAAACCAGGCCCATTTAAATAAATATACTTTAGGTTTTTCCTTTACTACGTTGACATACAGCAGCGGAGAAGGCCTTCCAATAATGTGTTCAAAACGAGTGGGGAGTTGTGAACCTGCGGAGAAAGTGTGTGGAAATAAGGAATTTCAATTTCCATGTGGGAAAAGCTGAGTATATGAAAGCTCCACTGTGGTTGGGAAGAACGGCAGAGTACCTGCCTTGCTTGCAGAAGATCCCAGATTCCATCCCTGGTATCTCCAGGCATGGCTGGGACTACCTTTAGTCTGAAATCCTGGAGTGTAACTGCTGGTCAGTGTAGAAAATACAGAGCTGAGTAGCCCAAATGTGTGACGTGGTATAAGGCAACTTCCTATGTTGCTTAGCTTGCACCTCCTGCTTAGTGCAACTGCCAGTGGAGGAAAGCAGCTACATGAAGGCATCCTTAGCATTTGGGTACCATCCAGCTTATCTAATTAACTGATCAAGATTATACAAATAATTTCAACATGGCCTCCTGAGAACATACACTAGGAGTTTGCTTTTAGAGATCAGTGTAGTGGAATTACACAGCTAGGGCCCAAACTGCTGTTTTCTTGGTTGCATCTGCAACAATAACTGATGTAGCTGAGATTCTCCAGTTGCAGTTGAAGTTATAATTTCTATATCACATTCCTGCTCTCCCAAACTTTTCCTTTTCAAATTGCCAAAATTTCTCAACCGTTCATTCACTAGATAGCCTAGAAGGCTATACTGGTTTTCTTCTTTAAACGAAATGCAAAGCTACTCCCCCAAAAAGTGGACTGACGAGATTGCATAAGAGCATGTTTTAGTGTAGATAGAACTTCTCAACGTGAAAGCTTACTAAGGAATTCTTAATACTAAAAATCACACAGACAGTCCTCTTGTATTGCCATTTAGATCTATCATTCTGATTGATCACTGTGTGTTTCACTATTATTGAGCCTAATTTAACCCTATACACTTACACATCCATCTACTCCATCTATTGTACCTGACATTCTACAAATTACTTACTCATGCAAATGATGACCTAAGTCAACCTTTTATGCTATTCGTGTTTAATTATACAAATGATATTTGATAAATAAGATTATACATCCTTCCATATGTTTATTCTCTCCTTGATGAAAGTGAAATTTAATTTTCATGCAGATTTGTTGGAGGCTGTGTTTAATAAGTGCTGAGTTTCATATAGTGTGCAGATTACTCTGGTTTTGGGAAGTTGACAAAAACAAAATCCGTTCACAGAGAAGAGCTGTTTTTAATTAGATGCAATTCTAGCGACCGGATCTTGGAATCGTCGAATTGAAAACCATGCATGTTGATTGATAGAACAAAATGAATATAACAAAGTGAGCATTTTGGCAAAAGCAGTATGAATAATAGAGAAGATGCTGACTTGTGTTCTTTTTGAGAGGGCATTTCCATATTAAGCAATAAATGAAATTTGATGTATGATCAATTGAATTAATGCCATTAGAAGAAGAAAAAAACTTCAGTAACTAAAGTCTTGTCTCATTTACTAAATAAGAGTAAAGGGAACATCAGAAATATACTATTTTGGTTGACTGACCAGAATATACCACCTGGTCTACATAGCACTGTCATACCTCAAGGCAGCATTGATGATTGCCGACATTTCACACAGAGGTCAGTTCCATAGTTATCCTACATCCTCTACTGATGTTTCCTGCTGATGAAGAAAAACACAAATGGAGAAGTGGAGGGTTATGGCTCATGCAATAGTCTGGGCTGCTAGGAGGGTCTGTACCACTGCAATGTTTAGCCTTTCCATGCTACCCAGCCTAGCATAAAACTTATCTGTTGAAAGTTGAATGGACACTCAACTGTGCCAGAAAGACAGAAATACTGAGAGCACTGTAATAGCATTTAACGGAAACCTTAATGAGAAAGAATGATTTTTTAAAAAATAACTGAATTCTTAAATATAGCTCAACCTGTTCCTGCATATGTGTATGTATGTACCAGGGCACTTCTTTAGCTGTTCAAATATGAAGTGTGTTTATTTGAAAAATAAAATCACCTAGCAGCCTAGTCGCTCATGTGTGTGCTGCAACAGTGTAGAAAGTTAGGTTGCAGTAGGATGTTCAGTGAAGCAAGGGAACAATTTCATCTTGCAATACTGTCTGTCACTTGTCATTACCAGAGGTGTTACTAGGGTGAACCTATGGCATGCAGATATTTACCTAAGTATGCCAAATGTTTTGGGGTTGGTTATGAGCTTGGGAATCCCCGAATCCCCGCGGCGGGGTGCGCTCCCGTTGCTCGGTCCCAGCGCCTGCCAACCTAGCAGTTCGAAAGCACCCCCGGGTGCAAGTAGATAAATAGGGACCGCTTACTGGCGGGAAGGTAAACGGCGTTTACGTGTGCTGCGCTGGCTCGCCAGATGCAGCTTTGTCACGCTGGCCACGTGACCCGGAAGTGTCTCCGGACAGCACTGGCCCCTGGCCTCTTGAGTGAGATGGGCGCACAACCCTAGAGTCTGGCAAGACTGGCCCGTACGGGCAGGGGTACCTTTACCTTTACCCAGTGGCTTAGCGTGGGTTGTCAGCACCCGGGGCAAGGCAAGTAATTTGCGCCCCCTAACCCGTGGATTTGCGCCCCCTAACCCGTGGATTTGCCCTAACCCCAAATGTTGCACCTGGTGCGGCCGGCCCCCCCTGCACCCCCCACGCTACGCCACTGCCTTTACCTTTATGAGCTTGGGAATATTAAATTGGGAGGGTGCTCTAGTTTACTGGGTAGAAACACACTAATTTAAAGACTTTATTTAGAGATTATTTGGGGTAATTAATGGGGGTAATGAGAGAGAGAGATGAATTTTATTTGGAGCAGGATTTGTTGCAAAATTAATTGAGGGTAAATGAATTCAAGAGAAGCTGTCTTTGAGTGATCTAGGATGGGACGAAGATTAACTGAATAAATTATTTGGGGCTATTTGGATAGGAGGGTTGCTGGCTGGCTATGTGAAGTTTCAATTCTAAATGTGTGTTTGTTTAATATACACACAAACTCATTAACAAGCATATGCAAATGTCTTTTGTCTTTTAAGTTCCTAGCAATTTCCGTGCTAATTAGTGTGCCAGACTTGTATGTAGCTTTTTAAGATGTCCAAAATGCCTAGAAAGGTCTGTGAGATGTCTCCCTTACTCTTGAATCTGTCCTGCCACCATAAGACCTTGCAATTGCGCATATGTGCTGTGCGACAACATCTGCGTCCACCGTTGGCCTGTGGCTAGCAGTGCTGGCTTGCCAGTGGGGGAGCTTTGACCTTTGCTGATGTATTACATTTGTTAGCTTCAAGGGATTTTGTATTGGAGTGGGTGTGGCAAGGTTTAGTTGACCAAGCCTGCTTTATCTTTGAGTAAAAATGGTCTAGAAGTTTTGTTGTTATCTTTTAAGTCCTTTATTGATGGACCTTTTTTTGTTTGTTTAATTTGATTTACTAGTTGATTTGATTTGGTGTGTGGGTGTGCTGGTGGTCCATTGTTTGAATTCAGCATTTTTATTCAACCTGTTTAGTTTAAACATCTTTTATAAATTTTGTCATTTTTACCTTCTGTTACATTGTACAGTGGTACCTCGGGTTACCTACGCTTCAGGTTACATACGCTTCAGGTTACAGACTCCGCTAACCCAGAAAGATTACCTCAGGTTAAGACTTTGCTTCAGGATGACAACAGAAATTGCACAGCGGCGGCAGGAGGCCCATTAGCTAAAGTGGTGCTTCAGGTTAAGAACAGTTTCAGGTTAAGAACAGACCTCGGGAACGAATTAAGTACATAACCAGAGGTACTGCTGTACTTTTATGAGGTTTTGTTCCTTATTAGCCACCGCAAATGCTATTTGTATAAAGGCGGCACACATACTTTAAAAAATAGTAAAATGACCACTCCCCGCTTAAAATGGGGGGCGCCCTTTGCATGGACGCGCGCAGCCCCTAGATCTGGAGCAGCTCCAACAGCATAGGCTTGGCTTTGCCTTCCCTCAGGTGGGATGCCTGGAGGTCTCCGCCTACCTCAGTCAGTTGTCCAATCCCACCTGGGGGAAGCGTTGCCAAGGAGACCAGGCCAGGTAGGGGAGGGATTACCTGCCCACACAATAGAGGGAGGATCTTACCTGGGAATCCTCACTTGGCTCCAGAGCTTCTCCCACCCCACGCACCCTCAGTTAATGGCTTATTTTGCAGGTTAACTTTTCTTCACAGGTATGCGGGCGCTGCTACGTTAAGGTTGCTGTTAAAGGGCCGGAAAGGAATTTCCCTGCATTGGCAGGTTTCGCCTTTCCCGTAGCAAAACGTCACAACTTTGGCGGTATCAGGCCTTGGGCAGAATCCTTTTGTCCATCTTCCTCTTTGCGGCGGCGATACCAGGGTTCCCCGTTAAAGGGGTTTCTGAAGGGAGGCTTTGACCGTACGCCGAAAGGTCGTCATTGCTCTCCCCTGCGGCGGCGGCGTAATGGGAGCGGCTATCTCTGCTTGAACATATGTTCTCCAGAGCCGGCCCATCCTCCCCACACACACTGGATAACCCTGATGCTCCCTGGGTCCCTGGCTGGGGACTGGGGAGGGAGAACACCCAATGCCTGAGCCAAGGTCTACGCACATTTGAAATTTAATAAAGTTGTGGCCAATTTAATCCCATAGCACGTTGTCTAGAGTCGTTATTCCACATGACGGGGGGACCGCTTGGGATCTGGGGACTCCGCCTGTCCACGCAATGAATAAATATACCATTATGTGGTGCAAATGAAAATAAGCCTCATACTCTTCCCCACAGACTACTTAAGGCTGCTTGAAATCTCACAGCTGAAATGTTATTTGTATTTTTAAGGTTTGGTCGGTCAATTCTGCAGGCCGGACTGCTAGCAGCTGGACCCAATGTAAGACAGGCCCAGCCCCTCCTCAAGGACTTCATGCACCTCTATTTGATACAGTGGCATCTACTTCAGCTGTGGTGAAAATCAGTCCTCCACTTAAGCCCAATGGAATAGTCAGTCTCTACAGGCTGTTCTCAAACAATACAAAGGGAAAGGATATGGTGGTGAGTTTTCATCAGACAAATTCTTCTTTTGAGCTGATAAGAATATTTGCTGTTTGATTTTTAGGATTTAAAAAAAAGCAGCACTATGTTTGATTTCATTCCTTTACTCTGCAAATAGGAAAAGGACCACATTTCCAGTGTGGTTTGCTGTGCAATGTTCTGTCCTTTTTCCAGGGCCAGATTTAGGTTTGATGAGGCCCTAAGCTACTGAAGGTAATAGGGCCCTTTATACGTCCAGCTGTCCTTTGTCAACAACAAATTGTCGGTGTTTTTTTGTGTTGAATATATGCTATATGGTAATTTATGGACCTACACAACACAAAACACTGTTGCTGTTTTATTTTATTTGTTTTTCATCTTACATTTTGGAAATGTACACCCAGGTTTTTTTTTCCTTTTAATTTTTTGGGGGGCCCCAAGAAAGTGGGGCCCTAAACTATAGTTTGTTTAGCTTTTACTTAAATCCGGCACTGCCTTTTTCTTATCAGCTGTCAGAAGGAACAGCCACTCAACAAACCATCCACGGCCTGAGGCCTTTTACCACTTATTCTGTTGGGGTCGAAGCCTGTACCTGTTTCAGCTGCTGCAGCAAAGGACCCGTGGCACATGTCACCACACAGCCAGCTCCACCCTCACAGCAGCCTCCTCCCTTCATTCACAGCATGACCTCAAGGAATGCGTCTTTGCAGTGGGATGCACCCCGGGAACCCAATGGCATTGTAAGAAGGTAACTGCTGGAATATACTCGGCACTAGCATCTATGCTGGCTGGGCTGACTCTTCAATTGATTCTCAAATGTCTGTCTTCCATTTTCTATTCAACTTTAACAGCATTCACACCTGACACCAATAATAGGAAAGAGGCTAAAGGGTTTTTATTTTTTGTAAGTGGCATGAAGACTCGGGGGATTTCAAAGACTGCCTAAGGAACACAATGCCCATTGATGTTAAAGAGCCTTATCAAATGGAATCTCCTTGTAGGAGATGTTGGAACTCAGTTTTACTCAGAGTAAACCCATTTGGATTAATGAACATGGCTAAGTTTGGTCCATTTCAGAGGGTGTACTCTGAGTAACACTTACAGTGGTGCCCCGCAAGACGAATGTCTCGCAAGACGAAAAACTCGCTAGACGAAAGGGTTTTCCGTTTTTTGAGTCGTTCTGCAAGACGAATTTCCCTATGGGCTTGCTTCGCAAGACGAAACGTCTTGCGAGTTCTTGCGAGTTTGTTTCCTTTTTCTTAAAGCCGCTAAGCCGTTAATAGCCGCTAAGCCGCTAATAGCCGCTAAGCCGCTAATAGCCGCTAAGCCGCTAATAGCCGTGCTTCGCAAGACGAAAAAAACCGCAAGACAAAGAGACTCGCGGAACGGATTAATTTCGTCTTGCGAGGCACCACTGTAGTTGAATGTTACCCAGTGTGCGTGTTGCCTTCAAAACAAACTGGAATCCTAGCAATCAATGTTTGGTGGGGAGAAGAACAGACTGAATCTAGTTGCTCCATCCAAACTGGTTGGTGAGATTCCAAATGTTATCAGCTTGTTTATATGCAGCCATGGTTGCTGGACTTGGCTGGAGACTATGTGCTACACCCTTTCACCAACATGGGGAAGGGGTTATTGGTTTGGTTTGTTCTTGTTTTTATTATGCATTTTGTGTTTTTTATCTTGTATTTCTGTGTTGTGAGCTGCCATGAGATCTATGGCTGAAGGGCAATATACAATTTTAACAACAAGGGATATACAGGCAATGACCTGCTACCATTCGCATATAGCCAAATTAGAGGCCTATAGCTTAGTAAACTCTCACCATCACAGTGATTACATCATCTGAACTAGCAAATACCAAAAAAATTCCGTGTCTTGTTGATGCCACCAAACTTAATTTTCCTTAGACAAATCAGGAATGAATATCAGTGCCTAAGAAAACTAGGCAGATTAATTATCTGTACCTTTGGAACTGACAGTCTTGGAAAAATCCCAGGCATATAGATACTAGCTGTCTACAAATCAACATTGGCCTTTTCTTCTTCTTGCCCTACCCCTACCCCACTGCACTGTTGTACCATCTAGCCTCCCCCCTACCATCTAGTTTGGAAAACTCAGAACCCAACACACTATTTTGTGACACGGATTTTAGAAATTTGTTGTTGGTGTGCTGGAATTTGTAACATTTTTTTCCAGACTTATAATTAGGATCCAAGCATTTGTAAATATGATGCTGGCACTAAGGATTTGGAGAGATTTCCCTAGACATGCAGGTCTAGTTACCTAAAAAAGTTATCGCTTCAATATTTTCAATACTGGCATACAGTTCAGTTGTCAATAATCATTGTTTGGTTGGTTGTAAGATGCTCTGGGTTGCGCTGGGCAAGATAAAATGACTAGAAAATTCAATACATCATCCTCATCATCAATGGGCATACAATTAGAATATTGAATGTGATGTACAGAGTTCTGCAGCAATTAAGTTGAGAGCAGGTCCTTGTGTCTGACCAGCATCAAGACACATAAGCAGGAAAGGGAAGCTTCTGTTTACCTGCTAATTGTGGCTCATCATGCTTCCATCTTTTCCTCCAGGTATGAACTCCACATGCACACATCCTGCCCTTCCTATTTGCAGCCAAGAGAAGCAGTTTGTAAACTTGGCCCTGTTGAAGTGAAATACGCAGGAGATGGCCAGCGCTCCAATGTGAGTGATCTACAGCCTTACACAACCTACAACCTGAGGGTGGTGTCTTACAATTCAGTAGGAAGCACTGCTTCAGAATGGATCAGCTTCACAACCAAAAAAGAAGGTGAGTTAATACAGGAGAGTATAAGAAACGTATTCTGCCACTTTATATGCTTAGAGCATGAATGGGAACGTGTGACCCTCCTGATATTGTTGAACCACAACTCGCATCATCCTTGGCCATTGATCACTGCAGCAGGCACTGGTATGTTTAGTTTTACTGTATCTTGATCATTATGGTTTTTAATCATCTCTATGGTTGCGACAAACCATTTGGGGTTTATGCCATGGTGTGTAAGCATTCTCCTGTCTTAGTATCTTTACAATAGTGGAGACGGCAAAAGAGTGTGGTACATGGGGGGGGGGGCAATGAGGAGCAATCCATCTATTTCATTTCAAAGAGCAAGTGATAAGAGCTGGGAGGAGCCATTTACCAAAGCAATGTCCCTCCACCAACTTCACACTGGAGGCTTACATTAATCAACCATTGGTAAGCAAAATAATGGCAGCCCAAATAATGCTATTATAGCTATATTGGTTGGCTTGCCTTTGAAGACCTTTATTTGGTGAAGACTGCCTTTTTCTTTTCGTTTCTTTTTTGGCTGGACATTTATTTCAACACATTCCTATTAACTCAGTGTTAAAGTTACTGAAAATTAGTGATCTGGAAAGCAGACTTCTCTGCAGCTTTACAACAATGGGTTTGCAATGAAAGGTTGGCCTCCTAGGAGCCATCATTACAGGTCACACTGATTATATAGTCTAGTTAGTTAATTGCTGTATTAATTTATTCAGCTTGTTAACTCCATCAGCTCCTCAGGTCTCTTGTATGTGCACCCTGGGTTCTTTGTTTCGCTTTCCTCGGTAGGTTCTGACACACATAATTTAAAAGAAGGAGTCACTGGCTTGTAGGCTTTCTTCTTTCCTTTAGCACAGAGCCAGAATCATGACAAATGACCATGCCCACCTTGTGTCCACAAAGTTACTTTCATCTAACACAGTATTTCAAGAAGAGTGTTTGATTATATACTTATGTATGATGCTATTGATTGATTATTTGGAGCAGTGAAATAGATGGCTATTTGCAATACTCTCTAACTATTTTTGAAAGTAATGCTTTGAGAGGAAAAATCAAAAGAATAAAAATGAATGGATGCCAAAAGACATAATTTATTCTTGAATGAATATAGTTTGGAGGGGGAAATTAACTCCATTGACAGTTTTAGATTAAATTACCTTAAATATTAATTCAATATGAAAAATGGCTTCCTTGTGTATTTAATAATATTAAAGATAATTAACAGCTCTAGAAATATTTAATGTTCCTGGCACATTTATGGGAATGCTCACAATTCCAGCAATTGCAAGTGAAGTGCAACTTTTTAAAAGTTGTGATGAGTTAGTACAGTTCTGATCCTTTCCACACATTCTGCATAACATTATTTTTTTGTTTGTTTGTTTATTAATATATTTATATACTGCCCTTTTCCAAAAGGCCACATGGCAGTTTACCACATAATATGTAACATAATTATTGCACAGCACAAAAACTGAAAAGCAATTATTTCCGTACAACTAATTAAAAAAGCAGCAGCATCAAACCACTCATAAATTACTTCAGACACCATTCCCTTCATCCAAAAGTCTGCTGAGGCAGGTATGTCTTCACCTGTTTCCTAAAGGAAAACAATGATGTGACTAGATGCATCTCAGTGGAGAGAGTGTTTCACAGACCACCCAAAGATTTGGATTGTCCAAACAGCAGTGCATTTTTTGCAAATGCTATTTAAGAGTATGTGCTCTCTCTGAAATATTTTATGTGTGAGATAGTTCATGCTCAATCTTGCTTTATACCTAGAACTTAAGTTTTATGGAAGTTTATTATGTTATTGTGTCTGTACTAGGTGCTATGCCACTTCTCTTTTTGCTCAACAACCCCCTCACCAAAGCCAACCCTACCCTGACTCCCTAACTTTAATCCTCTCCCCGCAGAGCTTGCAAAAACCACCCCCTCCCCTTCTTCTCTTACTTAGACTTTGTCAAACCTCTGCAACTTGCCTGGGTTGCTCTCTCGCTTGCTTTCTCACCTAGGCAAGCCACCCCCTTCCCCTTCCCTCTCCTTGCCAAAGTCACCACCCCTCTCCCCCTACACCATGCCAAAGCCACCTCCTTCCTCCACAATCCAGTGCTCCTGCCGCCATGCTGAGCTCCTCACACTCATCCTTTCCCCTTTGGTAAGCAGCAGTGACTCACAGTTTTGGGAAACCAAGAGAACAGTGGAGCCCCACCCATGTCACCTTACCAGCCTTTGCTGCATAGCTCACAAAAAAATTCTGTTAAAAAACCCCTGCTTGTATACTTGTTTGCCGGGTCATGTTGACTTCCCACCTGGGTCACCTACTGGCCTGGCCACACTTCTCCATCTCCCTCCTCCTCAGCCTCCAACACTGCTAAGGTGGTCCATCAGCTCTGAGAACCCAGCTTGTCTTCACGCTGTATTTTGCAGTGCTACCTGTCAGCAGCCACACAAAATGCAGTTTGATGACATCCTTAGCAATTTTATTGTATGTACAGTGGTGCCTCGTCAGACGAAAAGAATCCGTTCGGATTCTTCGTTAGGGTTTTTCGGGCGAAGCAACCCTTACGCTAAGCGTTGCGCTATTAGCGTTTGATAGCGTTAGGGGCTAGCGCATGTTGCTATTGCCTTTGAAAAGGGGGGGGAACAGGAAAAATTGCAAGTCACAGAGTTTCTCTTGCAGCAAGCCATAGGGAATCGTCTCGACTCTCCAACGGAAACCCTTCGTCTGCGGGTTTTCATCTGCGAGGCATTCGCTCGGGGACCACTGTATAGATAAATTCTGCTGAAATGCATTTGACCAACAGGTCAGTACTCTTCAGAAATCCTTCCTTCATATGTACAGACAAAATGTGTTTATGTACCTATGGGAGCAGCCATCCCCCCCCTCCATGTTCCTGATACAGTCAAACTTCGGTTCTCGAATAGCTCCGTTTTCCAACACTTCGGCTCCTGAACGCCGAAAACCTGGAAGTAAATACTCCGGGTTTTTGAACATTTTTCAGAACCCGAACATCTGACATGGCTTCTGCTTGAATGCAAGAAGCTCTTGCAACCAATTGGAAGCTGTGCCTCGGTTGTCGAACGTTTTAGAAGTCAAACGGTCTTCCGGAACAGATTACATTTGACAACCGAGGTTTGACTGTAGCCTTACAGGGGCCTGGGTACATGGGAATAGTCACCCTTTTCTCTCTACAATAGGTAACATCACTGGATCTGGGAGAAAGCCAAGGTCAAACAGGCAAGAAGTAGGCAAGGATGTGAGAGTCAGGGTTGAGCAAAGTAAAGGAAATGAGTGTTGAAAAGCAAATTCAAGGAAGTTCAGGGCCTGCTCTTTGGCAGGTTCAAACCAGGAAGCTCTAACTGGAGCTGTCAGTCATCTTCCTATCAGCCTCCTTATGGGAGCTCCTGGGAAGGTGGATCCAAAGACAACAGAGCAGATTGTGACTTCAGGTGAGCTTGTTGAATTGCATTAAAAATGATTATTCCTGACACTAACAAGTGGTCCTCTAAGGATTATTACTGAATAAATGTATGTGAAAAGTCCTGAACATTACTACGCATTAGTATCCTCCAACTGTAGCAGCCCACGTGCTCATATCGTGTCTTCCTTCTCCATAGCAAAGTGTGAAAATGGCTCTAGATCTTATACAGATGTGTTTAATCTCTAAAAACTAAAGAGGCATTTATAAAAAAAAGACTCATTTTTTCTGTCTGTTTTCTTCTGCCAGTACCTCAGTACGAATCTCCATTTACAGTTGTCAGCAATTTATCCACTCTCTACCTTGACTGGAGTCACACCTTCTCACTGAATGGGCCGCTGAAGGAATATGTGCTAATGGAGGGAGGGCAACGCATCTACAGCGGCTTTGACACCACTCTGTATCTGCCAAGGACATCCGACAAAAGTCAGTTTGAGTTTCACAATTCTGTTTCTTCTGGCTAATGCGTCACATATATATCTAGTTTTATGAGGTACCTTTATACAATTTGCACCCCACCTTTGGATCAACTGAACCCCAAGGCAGCAACCTATAGAGCGATTTCCAAGTGATACTCAGAGTAGACGTACTGGAAATCAGTGGTCTCAAATTAAGAACATAAGAAGAACCTGCTGGATTGGGCCAATGGCCCATCTACTCTGCATCCTGTTCTCCCAAGGCCACTCTCCCCTCCTGCGGTATCAAGCAACTTGTATTCAGAAGCATCACTGCCTCTGAGGGAGGAGGTGGCTGGTATCCATTGATGGGATGTATCCTTCACGGAATAACTTGCATTAGTGTTGTCGGAGTACATGCAAAGAGACAGTTGACATTTGTAGCTATCTTAGATTGGGGACGCGGGTGGCGCTGCGGGTAAAAGCCTCAGCACCTAGGGCTTGCCAATCGAAAGGTCGGCGGTTCGAATCCCCACGGCGGGGTGCGCTCCCGTTGCTCGGTCCCAGCGCCTGCCAACCTAGCAGTTCGAAAGCACCTCCGGGTGCAAGTAGATAAATAGGGACCGCTTACTAGCGGGAAGGTAAACGGCGTTTCCGTGTGCGGCTCTGGCTCACCAGAGCAGCGATGTCACGCTGGCCACGTGACCCGGAAGTGTCTCCGGACAGTGCTGGCCCCCGGCCTCTTGAGTGAGATGGGCGCACAACCCTAGAGTCTGTCAAGACTGGCCCGTACGGGCAGGGGTACCTTTACCTTTACCTTTTAGATTGGGGAGGGAGGGTATCTATCAGCATGTGCAGACCAAGGCAAATTCAGGTCTCTTCTCCTTGAATACTGGAGTACTGCTAGCAATACAACCCCCTGGGCCTATCATTAAGTGAAGGAAAAATGGAGATGCAGCTGTTTCACTATGCATTAAATGCAACATGTACCTTGACACTGAATTAACATTACTTAGCTAACAAGTTGGTGAGGTGTGAGGGGGACTTAAGAGTCGTCCGCGACTGGACCTAATGGTCAGGAGTTCCTTTACCTTTAGAGTTTTATGCAAGTATCAGAACATACAATGGGCTCTAGATCAACTACCTCCTTTATTTCCTATTAAACCCTTTGTTGTGCTTCTAGGGCAACTTAAGAGTACTTTCTTTTGGTCCCTTCTCACTTTTTGTTCTGCAGACACAGAAAGTCATGCCCAAGTCTGAATACTTGCAATATCCTTAGTGGGAAGGCATTAACCATACCACATGCAGTAATAGTTGAAATACTTAATAGGGAGACGATAAAAGGAGTTTTCCGTCTTCAGGAGAAGCTGTTTTCATAGAATTTAGAATTTATATGCTAATGATTACATTTTGTATATGAAATAGATCAATAGCCAGACCCGTCCTACATTGCAGAGGACAGTCCTATGTTTGAAGGGCTGTTATTCCTCTCTTTCTGAAGGCCCCCACCCAGGAGGGAAAGACTGACTGGATGCCCTGGATGGCAGGGCCAGCCCATCCATGAGGCAAGATGAGGCAACTGCCTCAGGTGGCAGGATCCACAGAGACAGCACATCCCAATGTAGAACTTTATCCCCCACTCCTTCCTGATGTAGATCTTCACTCACCCCTTCTTCCCTGGTGGGGAGGGAGGAGCCATTTTGTGCTGAAAACTCTTGGGCTGGCCACCCCAACTGTAGGGGAGGGACTTATGAACCTCCAGTTGGTGCACTGCACTTTCAGCATAGCAAGCAAGCAGCCAGGCAGCAGGCAGGGGGAAAGGAGGTTTCTGTCAATCAATGCTGGTGACAGGCCATGCCTCAGGTTTAAAGCAGACATATTTAGAGAATTAAATAAGCAGAACAATAAAACGATAAGAATAAGAATAAGAAGTTTATACAGTGTGCATGTTTTAACCATACAGTGTTGTTCAGCCTATTCTTTTCAGGTTTCTTGTACCACTGACCAAGGAAGTGCAGTAACACCTGTGATCAAATACAACACTGCTACAGGAATCGGTAAATTCACAAAGGCTCCTCCTTGCCATTGCGTGCGGATTTGCTGTCAAATATTACCGGTGCACATGGGCTCTGTGTGTATCTCAAATAATGAAGTGATTCAGATCATGATTCCATGTACCTGGGTGGGATCACACAATTAACATGGCATTTCAAGGTGGATTAGACAGACCCCTTAAACTTCCAAGTGGCTTTACAGCCTTGGTTTATCCAAAAGCACAAATTTTCCACCTCCCCTCTTTTATTTTCTGAGAAACAAAGCCAGACTGACTGGAGAAATGGCCAGAGCTCGATAGGGAGAGAGACAGAGGACTCTTTCATTTTGCTGGGCACAGTGAGTTGTTTTCCAAGGCCACTCCAAAATCACAGTGATTTAGGGGAAGGGAGGTTTAGGCAAATAATCAGTGTTGTTCTTCATGTGGGTTTTAGTTATGTTTTAGTTATGAGAGCAGGGCATTAGTGGTGGAGTTAGAACACTGGGGTGGCTTGCTTCTTTCCCAATTATTATTATTTTTGCCTAACAAACAATTAAAACCCATAGCTTATTTTTTCTTCAGGGAGGGTACTTCCAGGGAGAAAAAGAAACTGCAACTTCTCCCATTAAAAAATAGTAATAACAAAAATAAAATCGCCTAGCAGGATAGCTCCTATACCCATTTATCTGAGTGTTAGAAGCTTTCGTGTCCAGGAACACCTCCTTCATGACTCCAGTTTTTGAACTGATTGCCCACAAAAGAAACTAGGGGATGGAATATGATTTCTGCTTTCAGACCACTACAAGGTAATGTCTGCTCCCGAAAAGTCACCTTTTTAGAGTGGCAGGACCTGTGCTCAGGAATTCCCTGCCTCTGCTGAAAATTTTCCGTTCCAGCAAGCCCCGTGTTTTAACCATTGTTTAAAATACTTTGTTAACCTTACCTTGTTTTTTAATGATCGTTCGATGCATATTTGTTTTTTATTGTGCTGTTTATTTTAGACATGCTTTATCTAAAATTGACTCTATAGACTTCTTGCATAACTTTTTTTCAGCAAGTGGTTTATAATTTTTTTCAAAAAGAAAGAAAGAATGCACACCCTTTGCTAGAGAGACCAGTGACCCCTTTGAGACTCTTTATTCTATCCTGTTTAAAACTTATTCCTTAAAAAAAGTATTTCTCACCAGACCTCCCTCTTTTAAATCCCCTTCAAGGATTAAATGGACACAGTTGTTGTGGTGTTTTTGGCTTGAGTGCAAGAAAGCTTTTTGCAACATATATTCATGTGAACACACACACCACATACACACACTACCTCCTGATAATTGTTTCAGCTGTTCAAGGTTATGTTGATGAATCAGCCTTCGCTTTTACACACACACACACACACACACACACACACACACCCTTCTCTTCCCTGGTAGGTGCCAATGCAGAGGTGATTTCCAACCCAGGCAGCAATGCCAGGGCTTAAAACACAGTCTCCAGAGTGCACTAAGCTTTATGATCCAACCCCCTGGCATACTGAGCCACTGCAGCCCCTTGCAAATGAGCAGAGTGTGACAAACAGCCACCAGCATCTTTCCAACACCTTATAAAATCAAACAAGGGGCGAAGATAGATCACACTACATTTTCTCTCTAAAATAATGCGTGCCCACCCTCTTCCTTCCCCAGATATCACAGGCCCTGCGTTAACAACCCCGGGAGATAAGCACGAAGCAGAGGCAAAGCAGGCAACCTTCTACACAGAGCTGTGGTTTGTGGTCCTAATGGCCATCCTTGGCTTGATCCTTTTAGCAGTCCTGCTGTCCCTGATCCTGCAGAGGAAAATAAGCAAGCAGCCGTATGCACGGGAAAGGCCTCCTTTAGTCCCGCTTCAAAAGAGGATGTCGCCGATGAGTGTCTATTCCCAAGGAGAGACGCACATGGTACGCTGCTTGACTGTGAATTGTTTTGCAGGCATGCTCCCCACGTGTGCATGCATGCACGCATTAATGCACGCATGCAGACACCTGCCCACGCATGCACATCTAGATGGAGAAGCTTTTTGGCCGAAGGGAAAACTGCAGCTTCTGCCCTGGCAGTGACTATCAGCCCCGTTATGTGTGCTAGTTCACTTTAAGCAATTCTCTCGCAATTTCCCCCTTCACCTAGAGAACATACGCCATTTGTATGGGCAGCCATACAAATGTGAACTAATATAAATAAAGTAATTTGGGGAAATCGTAGAACTGTGGAGTTGGAAGGGACTACGAGGGTCATCTAGTCCAACCCCCTGCAATGCAGGAAACTTGCCCAATCTGGGGCTCAAACCCACAATCCGGAGATTAAGAGTCTCATACTCTACCAACATGGGTGGCGCTGTGGGTAAAAGCCTCAGCGCCTAGGGCTTGCCGATCGAAAGGTCGGCGGTTCGAATCCCCGCGGCGGGGTGTGCTCCCGTCATTCGGTCCCAGCGCCTGCCAACTTAGCAGTTCGAAAGCACCCCCGGGTGCAAGTAGATAAATAGGGACTGCTTTCTAGCGGGAAGCTAAACGGCGTTTCCGTGTGCGGCTCTGGCTCGCCAGAGCAGCGATGTCACGCTGGCCACGTGACCCGGAAGTGTCTCCAGACAGCGCTGGCCCACGGCCTCTTGAGTGAGATGGGCGCACAACCCCAGAGTCTGGCAAGACTGGCCCGTACGGTCAGGGGTACCTTTACCTTTTTACTCTACCAACTGAGCTACCTGGAGAGGCCAGTGGTATCATTTAAGGCAGCTTCCTATGCTCCCAACAGTTAAAGCAAATTCACTAAGCACATGCTTAAGGTTTGTTGCTTGATATGGGGCAGAGGACAAAAGCAGTAGGTCTTTGTGGTATTCTCTCCCCTCTTCCCATAATGTTTCGCCATGTGTACTCGGGTCACGTGTTTCGCAACCAGCAGCACAAACTGTTGGAGAAATGCACTGCCCAAGGAAGGGTGCCTAAATGTTTGGCGCGTGACGTGGGGCTGTCATTTTTGGCTGCAGTTCTACACTGAAACCAAGGGAGTTTTAAAATACTTAGCTTTGGCCAGATGACACCTAAGTAGAGGATAACTCTGCCTACCGCTCAGGATGTGAAACTTGGCAAAGGTACAGTATTTGAAGAGAGAAGCAGCCACTTTTATCTGTGCCTTGTGCCTTTCTAAAGGGAATCGTTGCAGAATTATATTGCTAGCCATTTCCCCCTCTCCCACATGTGCTGTGTTCCCTCCCCACCCCCTTCAGACTGCACAGCATGCTTAAATGTTTCTGTCATTTTCGCAGCTCAAGCCTTTGTTAAAAGCCTCTTAAAAGAGCGCAGCAAGTCAACAATTTTAATTTTTATGTGGCCCCTTAAGGACCTGTCAGTGCTGTGGCTACTCCTCGAGCATTACTGAGTTAGGGGGCCAAGCGGGGGCCTTAAAGGAAAATGTTTGTGTTTCAGGAATGACCCTCCGGAGCTGGGGGATGCTGCTCTCAGCAACATTTCTATGGTGACTCTGGGTGGATTGTAAAGGCTAAATTAGGGCCTGTTTAATCAATTTTAGTTGAGTTTCTGAACTAGTAAAATGAGCTTTGAAAATAGGCTGGTTTGCCTTTTATAGGAATAGTCAGTTGTAGCTGAAAGAAATGCTCAAGAGCACCAGTAAAAACAAAAACAAAAAACTGAGGATGCAGTTTGATTATAATAAGCCAAAATGTGCGAAAAGTAGGTATTACAATAGGGAGAGAAAAACCTGAGTGTTGTAAATGCTTAATTCAGGCACTCCCTTGTTACAAGGCTGTAAAAGGTTCAATGAAATGGCTTAATAAGCTATTCTCCCCTATTCTTTGTTCTGCCTTCTTCTCCTAGCATCAGGCTCATCTCATAGTCTAGATAGGAGCATTTGAAGCTGTGTTCTTCCAAGTCAGACCACAGCTCAAGCTAACTTCGTGTTGACCAGCAGTAGCTGCCCAGGGTTTCTGACCTGGATGTTTCCCTGCCCTAATTATAGATGCTGGGGATTGGACCTGGGTCTTTCTGCATGCAAAGGATGTGCTCTACCACTGTGTGGTCTCCTCTTCAAAATACCCAGGATCCTTGCCTTCCTTTGGTCCCACTTAACCTTGTTAAGAGCAAAGGAATCTGCCTTATACTGTGTAAGACCACGGATGCATCTTGCACAGTGCTGCCTGCAGCAGAAGTAGCCAATGTGATGTCCTTTTGATGATATTGGACTACCACTCCCATCATCCCTAGTCACTTGCCAGACAGTGTGTGGCTGATGGGAACTGGAGTCCAGCAGCAACTGTCGGGTACCATTTTGAGTCCACTACACTGGCTGTCCAGGGTTTCAGACATGGCTTTTTCAGTGTCATAAGCGGAGATGCCAGGGATTGAACCTGGGACCTTTTGCACACAAAGGCTTTGTGCTACCTCCAAGCTACAATGTTAGCTGCTGGCATTACCAACACTTTGCTATGTTCTCAGTCCCAAACGGGGTGGGTGGGGATCTAGGAACCCCCAGTCCACTCGCAGCTCAAATCCAGCTACTGAAAATGAGCTAGGCCTGGGTGGGAGGGGGTCCTCTGGGCCAGTGGTGGAGCTCCATGCTCTGGCAGTGGGGGATGGAGAGTAGGCGGGGGCGGGGCTGGCCTGTGTCTCTCCCCCCCCAACTCCTCTTCCTCTGCCAGTGCTCTGGGCTATCCCTGCTCACAAGCATCAAGCATGCTGGCCATGCCTCCTGCTGCCCATACATTGAGAAAGGGCCTCACAGGTGGACTGGCATACACATGTATCCCTCCTACACACAAGGGAGGCACCTGGGGCAGTCAGATGGCTGTCGATGTATATGTGAGGTCTCTTCTCACACTCACCAAACATGTGGCCGGTGGGTGAATCATCAGCAAGGGGGCAGAAAGAATGGAGAGTGACCCATTTTAAAACAGTGAACTTGAAATTGTCATAGTATATAACTTTATGCTCTTGTGTTGTATATATTATATATTATGGGGTATTTTGTTTATTTGATAAATGTAATTAATATAATATAAATTAAAGCAAGCTTGCCCATCGAGATTTGCCAGCTACCTCTGACCTCAAAAGGAAACTAAAAGCATAGACAGGACAACCTTGTTTCTGCTCTGAGTGTGTCGACAGCGGGGAGAGGTTTACATGTAAAAAAGCCGCATTTCCATTCACTCTCTTTTCTAGTTTTGCTTCCCCTTCGCCTTTGGAAGGTTAACTGTCTGAACTGCTGCTCTTTTCCCCCATCTCCTCTGTTTTAACTCCTTGTCTTCTCTGCTGCCTTGCCTCTCCTCCTTTATTTCCTGCACCTATGATGTTTCCAAAAAAAAATACGCAGAAACCCTCTTTCACTGATAATCCCTGCCATCAGCCTCCTCTTGCTACTTCTTTACAAGTCCCTGTCATCTCGTCTTCACAAGTATCACAGAGCTCAGATAAGGTAAGCCTTTGCGATGCATATGTCTGCATAAACATTGAGAAAGATATATTTCTAAACCGCTAGGCAATGTCTTCTTCCTCCATCCCCCCACCCCCACCACTGTATTAGATTGAGGGAGTCGCTCTGTTTTATTATCGCTTTCAAGGTCACCCGGCATAAGGTGCAGATAATTGTAAGTGCAGTTTTTTACACCTAACTCAATTACTGGCTTGAATCTGGAACACTCAGCCACTGCAGTCCCATACAAATGCTAGTGGAACTTGCCTCCGAGAGCAACAAATTGGCTTTCAGTTGCCATAAGCCTTCACTGCAAATACCTTCCCATTTTTCTGACTCCGTATAATGGGGCAATTCCTCAGCTGCTACAGATCAACATCGCTTTGCTTGATGGCACCGGAGTTTCACGGGCTTCCTCCTTGCTGGCGCTGTGGCCCGCGCGGTGCAGACATTCATTGCAAGCTAACCTTCCCGTGGAGCATTTGTCACAGCACCCAGGTCATTTAGAAATGCCATTAATACATTTCTTCCCTTTTTAATCTCAGTTTGAGACGGTTGCCGATACGTCTGAGTCCTCAAGCAGCGTCACTCTCAAAAGCTACACAATGCACGCTGAGGTAGTGATTAGTGCGGGTCCGGCCTGGGCGACCAAGCGCTTGCAATTTTCTTGAGTGTTGGCATGAAAGTCTTTTTGCATGACACTTACTTTATAGCGGAAAAGGGGATGGTGCTGAGCATGCTCTTGTATTGTGTTTCATTGTCCAGGTAATGGAGCAGGTGTAGAACTGGGGTACATAGGCTCAGGCAGAACTAATGGGTTTCTTTAAGAAAATTGAAATTGGGCTGATGCAACAGGGTTGTTTTTATGAGCATAAGAGAGTTGATTTCCATTAAATCACAAACTTGGGATAAACCACACTTGGGAACCCAGGGGGGTTGAAAAGCTGAGTATTTACAGCTAACGCAAACTGTCTCAATCCATAACCATAATATCCATATTAAGAGCATAAAAGCCTGTTGGGTCAGGACAATGGCCCATCTAGTCCAGCACCCTGTCTCAAGGATGGCCAACCAAATGCCTATAGGAAGCCTCTAAACAGGACCCCAACCCAAGAGCGCTATCCCCTTCTGTGGTTTCCAGAAGCTCCTTCGATCTCCTGGGCATGAATGTGGGCAAGTGATGAGTGAGTCAAACCCAGAAGAGCTGCAATTTCATTCAATAAATCCTTATTTAATCCCAACATCTTCTAGAAGAGCAAGCCATGCCCAGGCTTGCAGGCATGTTTCGAACCTTTCCATTGTCTGAGAGTCTGTCCATTTCTCTCTTTAGAGTGCAATTGGAACCGTTTGGTGTTTTATGTGATAAACTATGTGGCATTGCTTCCTCATCTCTTGGGTTTGCTGTGATTGCAGTGCCTGCTTGTGTCTGTGGGCTTTTTTTTACAGGGCAGGTCACTGGGAGAGCTATGTGACTGAACTGTGAAAGCAGAGAATGTACAAAGCTAGGCATAACCCATATTAGCAGAATCTTTAGAGACCCTACTGATCTACAAGCTTAAACCCCCCAGCAGTCATTCATTAGGAAACCAATGGCCCTGCTCACCTTGCAGGCACTGCTCAGCAAAAGGCTGTTGTTGGAGTGAAATGGGAATTGTGCCAGTGACATGCATGTATTGCATGCTTAGCAGGAGATCACCTTGCGAAACTGCATTGCAGAAGGCGATGGTTTCCACAGGGAACAATAGCTGAAGAGAGTGCTAATGATCCTTGCCATGTGTGTTTAATGGTGTTCTGTTATTGGTCATAAACTCTGCTGTGAAGATGGGCTCCTGCAGCATTGTGAAATTAACTCTCATCTGGTCATCAGCTAAGGACAGCTGATGGAAACCAGGGGATCATTTTGTAGTGGAAGCCACAGTATGGTGATACATGGTTTGGTAAAAGCTCTTCCTAAGACAACATTTTATTTATTTTGTCTCCTCCTTCCATGCTTCTAGGGATTAGCAGATACAAAAATTCCAGCACCAGTGTCTCCTTTGAGTATGCATAGCAATCAAAGTACTTCCGGCTTTCCAGTACCAAGCCAAAGCCAGATGCAGCGTACATATTCCCAAGGTTCTCTACATCGGAGTGTCAGTCAGCTTATTGATGTCTACGACAAAAAGTCCTTGATAGAAGATACCGTTTGGGATACCATTATTCATGGCCATGACAGTGGTTTGGTAAGTTCTTTTCAAGGGAAGACTGATAAGCTTTTGGGGCCAGTGGCAACTGCAGCATAAAACCCAGTGAAAAGAGAATGCTAGGAAACCCTCTCCCCCCCCCTACAGATGTTAGTAGAGTCATGAATCCCTGCATTCCACCACTTCTGGCCAATAACCCTTTGCTTCCAAAGCTGTCTGTTCCTCTAAGGCTCCTTTGATCCTAATTTATACAGGGCACTGGGAAAACCCAATTACCTTAAAATATACTTACCCATGTGCACTGGTCTATTAATATGACAGCAATTGATGGCCCAATGTTACAAATGAATGGACCAACTTACATGGTAAGTGTATTTTAATTCAGTTGGGCGTGCATGGAAAGCTTACAAAGATAACTTACCATATGGGAGGAAAACAATATAAGCCAAGTTCATTCCTTTCTTTCTATATTTTGAGCCACATCCTATTAAGAGAGTTAAATTATCTACTTAATTGTTGAAAATGCCAACAGCGTTCCTGAATTAATATTAGAAAGGCGTTGGGAAGTGAAGAGTTTCCACCATTATGTTCTTGGAGCATAAGCCTCTTCGACAACAACAAAAGTAAATTTATTTATTTGTTTGCTTGTTTATAGTATGTGGATGATGAAGATCTTGTGAGCGCTATAAAAGGCTTCAGTACTGTCACAAAAGAACATACAACATTTACGGACACACCTTTGTGAGTAGTTTTGCCACTGGTACGATGGCATAAGCAGAAGAATATGGAAGGTGTTTTTTCTTCAAGCCATTCTGAACACACTTGCCTTGTTTAGTCATTGTGATGTAATGTGCCTACCAATATGAATTATCTTGATTTTTAAACTTTTTAAACAGCGTCAGTATTACCATATAATACTTGTGATAATGCATTGCTAAGAAGGGTAAGATTTCACCCTACAATGAAGATTTTACAGAGTAAATTTTATTTATATAGTAAAGTATGTATTATAAAGTTTTAAAAATGTGCACAACTGAGCCAGAAACCTTTATAAACATTTTAAGCTCCACTTACAAAAGTATGAAGGGAAACCATGGTTGGATGAAATGGTCCATTTGTCAAAAATGAGCCACTGATTATTTATGCTACAACATATATAAAAGTTTGCTTTGAACGTTTCAGTCAAAATGTCTTTGTTTCAAAAAGAAATCAGTAAAAAGTAAATTGCGGTTGTTTCATCCCAAACATGAGAGTTTGGGATTGTGTGAACTTGTCCTGATACAACTATTTTCTTCAGCCTACCACTTTTGGCACACCAACAGGAGATAGGTCTTGACCTCCCTTGTCTGCATCATCCATTAGCACCATAGTTCTCCTACACCACTTCGGTTTGGTCCTGGGATATTCCAAAGTACATGATCAGGGAAGTAGAGTTTGATATTTATACAGCTGTTGTGTATGTTCTTTCTAAAAAAAATGATTACCGAAATGACAGTTTAGTTTGACTCACTTGTACAGTGGAATCTTGGCTCACTAAGAATCCTATTACATACCATGCCGATTTCTTGCATCTCCCTTAAAATATATAAATTTCCCACTACTGTCCTAGCAAATCTTTCATTATAGTTCTTATTCTGCAGTGGTTTGTTTCCCTAGCTATGTGTTGAAATATTTCTGATTGCCCTGAATTGTAGACTGAAATTACAATTATTTGTAGGTCAGTTCCATACCTAGCACTGAGTCCTACTAAATTCTTTGGGATTTACCCCCAGAAAAGTATATATAGGATTGTAGCCTAAATTGTTCCATAGAACTGATCTAGGAAGTTAGTGGTTTAGGTATAAGCTACATCACTTTGCATCATTTTTTTTAAAAGTTATGTATGTTCTGTGTCAATAGCTAACTTTAGCCGTTGTCTGTAGCAGGTGGTCATCTTATCACTGTTTTGTTAGGCACAGGTTGAAACAAAGGTGTTATGTATCTAGTTTTGTGGGCTGGATGCAAGGTGCTGCTATCATGCCACTGATAATAACAAAATCCATTCCCTGAAGCAGTAAGGCAGTTTTCAGTGCTACACTTATCACAGGTGCAGATATGTCTTCTGTGGCAAGGGCATAAACATTTCAACCCTACACCAAAATTGAAGATTTGGCTTGGGAAGAACAAGAGTAGAACATCATTTCTAGTAGCAAACTGTTGTGTATGTGCTACTGACAATAAAACCTTTGCAGTTTTGTCTGTTGATAAGAAAAAGGGAGTCACATTTGAACTCAGTCCAAGTGCACTTCAAACCATAAAGTCCCAAAGGACTGGGCCCACCAAAATTTATACAAGTACTCTGGTTAGATGGTTTATGAAATGTAATTTCATTGTGTATTTAGAGCTGGATACTCTTTTTCCTGTGTTTAATGTTACCTTTTGAAATAGCAGATATTTTCTTTTCTGCCAATATACTTGCGGAGCAAAGGACAAAATATTAAGTTACTTTAAAAGCTGTCTTGTGTATTTTTTTTTTTACAAAGAAATGCAGTACATTTCATGATATCCCAATTAATAAATGGTTTTAAACAATATTTTTTATTGGGTGTCTTTGACTCATCTTGGTCTATGGTCCTATTTATTGCTTCTATGAGTAGTTTAGGATTACTTTGGACAGACCACCAGCTGGACTTTCTAAGCACTTTTGTCCAGAATATTGCTATAAATTAACTATTGAACAAAAGTTAGAAAATGCCAATATTACTTCCCTAGGAATTTTGGCTTTTTGCTACAGAAGAAATTATCTAGCATTTACAGTGGTCTTCCACAACTTAGTGCCTACAAATGTCTTGGGCTTCCAACTCCCATCAGCCCCAGAAATAATGCATGTGCATTGAGGAGGTTTGTGGGATTCTGGAGCAGTATTTTGTATAATGTGGATACCATCCCTTGTCATGTCCCTTGGATGTCAGGTGGTTTCTGAAGGTGATTAAGGCTGCTTTAACTGCTGGATTATTTAAGAAGGCATGTAGTTGGTGTTCTGTTAGCCAGGGTATTTGGGTGTCCCCTAGTTTGTCTTGTATTTCTTGTGTTGATATGGGCTTGTTATTTTTGTAGAATTCTGTTAGGTGGTGTAGGCCTTTGGCTTGCCATGTTTTTATTTGGAAGTTTTGGGCTGTGTGATGGGCTGGGGGCTTAATGGAGATGTGGTTGGGAAAAATTTGCCTACTCCCCCCCCCCTTCCTGTGTGATCCTGTTTAGTGTTGTGGGGATGTTTCCTTTGTTTGTTTTGGAGGAATGGGTATGCTATGGTGGGGGTGTTTCTGATTGTGTCTATCTCAAAGTGTATCTATTGTTTTGACTCGTCTTCTAGAATGTATGGGATTATGCTTTACTGAAAAGGAATGTATACACAAATCTGAATTGTTCCAGGCCTACTATGTGTGTGCATGGCACAGGAAGAAAAAGGAATGCAAAAAACCTTACAGAAACAGAGAGATATACAATATACCAAGGTTCAAAATTGATTCTAAAGACAGCTACTTCTTTTAGATTCATTGTTTGGCTCAAGCTGGAAGATGGTAAAAGCTCACCAATGCTTTTCTTTTGGTATTCCAAAGCTACCCTATATGGGGGGGGGAGGGGGTAATACTATGCAATGTCTTACAGTTGCAGAGTCAGATCACAAGTTTAATATGGCCTGAATCTAAATCTCTCTTATTGCTAATATTTGTTGCTTATCTCAACTGTTGAGGTGTTGCCAGTCTTGTAAGCAATAAGTGGTTTTTCTCATAAATAAAATAATACACAACTATTAAATTCTTTATACTTTAATATTAAAGACAAATATATGCAAAATAATATTTTATAGCATTCAAATCAGTAACAAGATGTTTAGAATTGCAGTATGATTAAGTTAACAAATTGCACCAGGTGATGTATACAAATTTATTAACACTAGTAAAAAATATGGTGACTCAACAACAGAAAAGGCAAACGTAAGGTGAAGTGGCCATGCCACCCTCTTTCCATTATTATTCCCAATATGGAACCACAAAAGCATGAAGAGAGACTGAACTCACTGAAGACCAGCAACATACATTAAATATTTAGCATGTGCAGAGCCACAAATGCGAATCAGAGTTACAGACATTAGAAAATGCTCCCCTTACAACAAAAATGGTAGTGCATGCAAGCCTCCATTAAAGAAAGCTTGAAATCAAAGTCTGTACCAGAACTGGACTTCATATTCATCGTTATATGAAGTCAACATCAATTTAGAATACTTTAAAAATGCTTCTGTTGGTTGTGCTGTGAAGCCAAGTCCTTTGTGTAGAATGATGTGTTCCCTATCCTGCTTTATTCTACTTCAAGAACATCTTGAAAGACACAGACTTACAGATGCCCACAGACACATAAATGTAAACATATTATCCAGTTTAGTGTTTAAAACCTTTGATATATATTTTGGATATAAATATCCTTCAGCATTTTTACAAGGTATAATCCTGGCAGTTAGAGTCACTTTTCTTATGCCGTGGGGAAACTGCTGTCTTTGTAGGCGACGGCGAAGCTGCCCCAGATGTTTCAGATCCTCCTTCCACAATACTTGGTGAAGACACCAGATGAGGTGCTTTCTTCCTCCCCAGGAATCCTCCTCCTTCAAACCCACCTTTCTTTTTATTGTCTGCTTTGGCTTCGTTTTCTTCATCAGTTCCTCGTTTCTTCAACTCCAATACATTTTCGGGCACTTTCTGACCATCACTTGCCCCATCTGCTACTCTGGTAGCTCTTATCTCAAGTGCTGCTATTGAAGCCCTTTTGTCAGTTATGTTTTCACCTGTCCTCTTCACTTCTGTCTGTACAGGAGTCTGGTTGCCATTCTGATGAATACCTCTGTCTACCATAGTTTTGTTCAAATTAAAAGCCTGGATCTCTCTGTAGCTGTGAAAACTCTCTGTCCGTCGTGCCCTGGCTAATAAAGGGCTCTCCCTATATGGCCGTATGGAACCGTATGTAGTGGTTTCGTGGATCATTTCACGGTGTTGCAACTGGAGGCTGAAAATATTTTATATGCATAAGTAAGAGCACCAGTATTAATGAACACAGTCACACTGAACAGATACCACAAGCAAGAAACAAGGTATTTTCCTTTTTGAGCATCTATGGTGCTGTTGCTTGTGATGTTACCAGAGCTATTCCACACAAAGATAGTGGAAATTAATGTTAATGGGGGAACGTATCTGATCTTTCTGGGAGGCACTTATTTTGCATATTTAACAAAAATGAAACTTGTAACCTTTTGATAGTTGGCAGCTGACTGTACCAAAGGAGACTTCTCTGGCTGATATCTACATTATTAGTCACATTGAAGAGTAGATCCAGTAAAAATCAATGAATCTGAGTATGGCTCATGTTGGCTATCACTTTCTGTAACATGCAGTTCTAACAGGGAACCACTGTGTCTAAAAAAATCCAAGTCTCAAAATGTTTAAAGTACTGAATGAAAAGATTCGGATTACAATTTACCAGCCAGTACAAACATGCAAGGACATACCTAGAGCTGGATTCACGCAGACGGCTTTGCTGCATCACTGAAGTGGCTGGGCTGATATTGGGAGTCGCACAGCGAGATGTGCTCAGGTCACACTGATCCAGAAGCTTAAGCAGTTCTTCTTCTGTAGGACCACCCACATCTTTTAAAAGAAAAAACACAGACCAGACACACATGCATTTAAACGGCCATAGTCTGCCCACACTGCATAGCCCATCCAGATCAGCACACTGTCTCGTTTGAGCCAAATACTGAAGTAGAACCCTGCCATTTTTTAGCATGCTGTTCCTAGCTATCCAGCCTTGCTGATCTCCTGCAATTCACCCGGAGATCCACCAATAAATCCTCAATCTACCTTCTTCCCACCTCTGCTTTAAGCAATACTGGAACTGCAGTATAGGAAGAATACAACATCGTACTGGACAACTACTAAATCTGGCTTCTTTCATTAATAGAAAAATTGGATTATTGCACATCTGACTATATCAAGGCAGATACCTTTTTCTTCGCTCTTATTAACCATATCCATAGCAGTGGTGAGGTCCCACATCTGAATACTGCCATTCACGTGCCCCGTGAAAAGGTAGCGCCGTGGTCTTGAGCCCATCCGACTGGATCCCTCACATTCTCGTACAGTGAAGGATGAAATGGTAGTACAGTCAACAGCCTGAATTTCACATATCCTGCATTAGAAATTGCACAAGGGCACATTAAGTCAACCAATCTGCAAAAACAAGGGGCATTTTCATTTTTAGGTAAAAGCTTAGAGATTACTAGTAAAACAAAAATTGTAACAGAAGTCTTATTACCTGACGAAGAAATCCTTAAACACCAAGATAAGACAGCACTGTCTTCTAAAATTTATTTAAAGAGTGCACTCAAAATAGGACACTTTTGTTACTACATAACACACCATAGATATTCTCTGCCTTTCAGTTATCCAAATATCCAATCTGACATGCAAGCTAAGAATCAGCAATGCAGCCCTGTGACAGTTATGGAAGGGGGAAGAACCTCAGGGCGCTCATGTGATGTGGTCTGCCAAAGCCAGCAACTGGCACTGATGTGCTTGTAGGGTTATAGACTGTGGCCATATTATACCATAATATCATCATGCATATGTTAAAGAATGTTCTAGAAAATGCTTTACTCCATTCTGATGCAGAATAAAAACTCAACTGTTTCCATCTCATAAATAGCTACATAACTGCCAAGAAGTCAGAATCCTTGCAGCGCCTTGCTAGTGGTAAATCACAAATTGTCAACTTGCATATTAAGCCGTATCAAGAGGACCACAATTCCTCCCCAAATTTAGTGGGAAATTCAGTGGTAGTCACAAGGTTCTCTTGGAAGCATTTGTTCTATGAAATGTTCTATAAACTGGCATATGCTTTTTTGAAAATTCTGCCTAAGTAATTCCAAGAGAAACCTGTGACTACAACTTCTGCTTTGTAATTGAGAACCCATCTCGTTTTAGCGAAGATGGCAGAGTAGATGTTCCCAAAGCAGTGCAAGAGCAAATGCAAAAGAAAATCTGGAACATCTGAATGCACCCAATGCAAACTGCTGCCATGGGAAGCAATAACCAACACAATTATTTCTGAGATAAAATGGGTATACATGAATGCAGGTTTAATTAACATGTAGAAGGCATAGGTTGATTAGACTATGCCTGCAGTAATCAAAAGAGAAGGAGGAGAACAGAAAGAGGTCAAAGTTGAACAAGCTTTGAGTTATTATGTTAAGATTTACCCTAGTACAACACCAATTTTAATAAACGTGTGGCAGTTTCTTCCTGTGCAAGAACAGAACATTAAATCATAGTGATTTATAACATTTATTGGGATGATAATTTGGCCTCCAACCATATTACAGGCTTCTAATGCTATTTGCTTAAAAACAAACAAGCTGTCAAAGGGATAATCTAGGTGCACAGAAAATGTACTCTTGATTAATTTCTCTAACAGTTGCTTATGATTGTACGTAATGAACTTTGATGCAAAGAAGATTGATTCCCTTAAAGAGTTTT